TTCTCCTCTACTAGCCCAAACATCCCTGTTATTTTGTCTTAAGTCTTCAGTTTCTCCCTTCAGGAAACTATTGTGTTGCTCTCACTTTCCCTGAATGCTAAGAAAAAAAGAAATCTAATCTATAAATGTATATGATCCAAAACCCTTTGTCATGGACCAGCCATCTTCCTTCACTGATCTCTTGCTCTTTGTGTATTTAAGTTTCTGTTTTACTTATTCAGTTTTTATGTATTTTTCCCTTATATTTTTTAGATTTTCTTGTGAACAAGATATTTCTTCTGATTTCTTTGTCTTTGTACAGGCATACTTTTCTGTACAAAGAAAAATGTAATTAATTTTGATTTTCCTACCATATTTCTGTTTATTTAGTGATACCCACTTAATAGGTGGCTTATGAGAAAGTCCTAATTACTGTATTCATTTAATTTAAATTAAACGTGCATATTTCTAGAAAATTAGTGCCATTTTTGTAGCTCTGTCACAGTACAATTCAGTCTGATTTGCTGTCTTTTGTTAACACTATGTTTCATATAAGCTCTTGTCCATTTCTCATTCTCCATTGGATAATAGTATTTAGATTACTTTGCTACATGAGATTTAATGAACTAATGTAATGACTTCTTTTTCCTCCTGAGGTTTTTTTTAATATATGTATGCTAAAGTGTAAAGGAACAGGAGAGGGTTTTTTACCTAATCTGTTTCATGTGATGCAAAGCACAATTGAAACTCTTAGCAACATTATCAGAAATTTCAACTGAAAAGAAAACCAGCAATCTTATTCTTTGGAAGGTCTAGGGCAAAATTACATGAGGAAAAAAATATAGGTCATATGGGCTGAATGTTTTGGAGCCATGCTGTGGCAAAAACCTTGGCCTGAATTGACCTGTGCTTGGCTATGTCTCCAGCTGTATGTCTTTGCCATTTTACGAGGCCTGAATACTGATTGTTGAATTAAGTGGTAAAACTGACAAATCAAGGTTCCAACACCACAGAATACATAGTAGGAGTTTCCATATTGACCTAGTTCTCACTCATAAGGTCTGGATACCACAGTCACTCCACTGCGTTTCCCTCACTAGTGTATTCTTTTAAGAAGGAGCCAGTCTCCTTTACTGTGATATGACTATTTAATACTCCCAAATCCCACTTTGTTGACTTATGCAGCCTCTCCTCATTTCAGGCTCCATAGCTACACTGCTGCTCCTGCTTATTTTTATGGAACTACAGTAGATTCAGCTGTGGTAGGATATTTCTTCTAGCTGAAGCATTTATAAAACCATAGAGAGTGGTTGCATTAAAATGTGTGAGCAGATTTTCACTGCAGAAGTAATCAAAATCACTTGCTAGGAGTGAGAACAAACACAAACACCCTGAAACATGCTGAAAACCATGTTAAATAGTCATGGTTGATGTTTGCTGTAGATCAACCTCAGTAGACTAACTAATATGTTTTCCATTTGATATGATTGATTTAAAATGAATTCTGAACCACCTTTAACACAACCCTAATAATATATTTTTTCCAGTTTAAACCTGGATTTGGTGTACAGTTTCTGGTATACTTTCTTGGAAAAATTTCCTTCTTCTCATGTCCTCATGTCAACTGCACATTGAGGAAACTTCATATGCAAAACAAGTAATTTATATGCAATGTGACATGGTTTGAGTTTTACTAAGTAGCCTGTCTACATTTTTTTCTCCATATAAGGAATATATACTTTGAAGCATCAGATCTCTCTGCTTCTTACCCATGTTCCTAGACTTCTTTTTCAATGGATTTAACAGTATCTTTTGGGAGACCTCAGAATAAATCAGACTGAAATTGCCTTTGATACAAGAAGGCTCTACTCTTAATGAAGTCTGAGCAGGTTATGTCAGTTTAATCAAAGACTGAATTTAGTCTCACAGTTTTGTTGTGTCACTGGCACACTGTACCTTATTTTATATTTGCAACAGCTAAGACCTGGTTTTGGAGAGGTAAAAAAGTTCCATGGTGAGATGTGCTTTTCAATAGCAGGTACTTTGGAAATTTCCATGCAATGTAGAGTTTTTATATGAAGATTGGTTAGTATACATCATGTATTTGTTTGGTTTTCAGTGATAATTTTGTTTGGTAAATCTTGATTCTTGCTCTTTCTCACAATATTTACAAGAAAATTTAAATATGAGAAAAGATTTGTCCAACCATCTGGCATCCTCTGAAGTAAGAAACCCTAGCCGTGGAGGAAAGGCAAATGAGTAATGTAGAAGCGACTAGTTAGCAGAGTGCTTATTTTGTATTTGTATTTGTATTTGTATTTGTCTAACAGTATACTAACCTAAAGTTTATGAAAGAATAGGAGGTTACTTTTTAGAGATAGTATTTTCCATGAGCTATAGAGGGAGAATTTATTTCAGTGTGGAGAATACTACCTACGAAACTGGAAAAAGACCCATTTCATTTTTCTTTTAGGGAACTTGATTGTAATGTTAGTAGTGTGTTCAAAGGAAACCTTTGCTTTGATCTGAATGCTGTACAATGATTATTAATATGATATTTTTCCTCAGAAGTTGCATTAATCTTCTGTAGTCTTGTTTCTCTTGTATCAGACAAGGTTTTGAGGGTAACAGTGGCTGTTTGCTTCACTGCTAATATCAGATAGGCAAATATTTATCAGTTTCTTCCCTCTTGGAATGCTTTGCTGAATATGTGCATCTTCGGCAAGGCTAACTTTCCAAGCAATGAAACTAATCTTCATATGAGACTTGCATAATTATCACACTGTCATCTCTGATGAACTGTAGCCAATAATTGCTTTGTATCAATCAATCTTTTTTTCCAAGTTTCTCACCAAGACATAGCAGAGTCTGGTGAGAACACACATCTCTTATGAAGCTGCTCATGAAGACTTGTGCTTGTAAAGTACTTCAGTCTCAAAGGGATTTTCTGGGAAGTAACATACACTTCGTCTGAGCAATGAGCTCTGTGTATGTGAGAGAAAGAGAGAAAATGGAAAAAGATCTGAGAAGGGGATGTGAAATATGAAATCTTTGGAGCTTTTCTGGAACCTGGCAACTAAAAGGAGATATTTTACTTTCAAGGCTTGCAAACTCTCAAAGAGCACCTGTGCTGAGTTTCACACTGCTAATTCTGTTGACGTAATCTTCTTTTAATGAACTGGCATGACATAATAATCTAATTTGGCCAGCGGTGGTGACGGTAAGTGCAGTGAGGAAACAGAAATCAGGCCTTGGAGAGAAGATAGGGAAGGGACATGAGAATTCTAAATCTGATTACCAGTTACTTTGAAAATTTTAGCTGATGAAGTCTGAGCAAATGTCTACCTTCACTTCACCAAGGCTTTCAACACTGTCTCTCCCAATGTCCTCATAGGGAAGTGTGGTCTGGATAAGTGGATGGTGGGATGGATTGGGAGCTGGCTGACCCCAGAGAGTCACTGTCAGTGACACGGGGTCTGGTTGGAGGCCTGACACTAGTGGTGTCCCCCACAATTCAATATTGGGAATTGTTTAGCTTACTCATCAATGACTTGGATGAAGGGGCAGAGACGTCCTCAGCAAGTTTGCTGATGACACAAAGCTGGGAGGAGCGGCCAACACCCCAGAGTGATGTGCAGCCCTTCAGAAGGGCCTTGACAGGATGGAGAGATGGGCAGAGAGGAAATTCAGTGAAGGCAAGTGCAGGGTTCTGCACCTGGGGAGGAGTAACCCCAGGCACCAGCACAGGCTGGGGATTGAGCTGCTGGAAAGCAGCTGCACAGGGAGGGACCTCGGGGTCCTGCTGAAAACAAACTCTCATACATGAGCCAGCGATGTGCCCATGCGGATGGGAAGGCCAGTGGTGTCCTGGGCTGCATTGGGAAGGGCACTGCCAGCATGCTGAGGGAGGGGATCCTGGTCCTCTACTCAGCCCTGGTGAGGCACATCAGGAGTGCAGTGTGCAGTTCTGGGCTCCTCAGGGCAGGAGAGACATGGGGCTCCTGGAGCAGATCCAATGGAGGGCGACAAAGATGATTAAGGAATTGGAGCATCTCTCTTGTGAGGAAAGGCTGAGGGAGCTGGGCCTGTTCAGCACTGAGAAGAGACAGTCGAGAGGGGAACTCATCTGAAGTGTCTGAAGAAGTATCTGAAGTGAGGGTGTCAGAGGATGGATAAGCTTATGTGTATAGGAGTGATGACATTTGCTTTGGCAGCAATCTACCTCACTTGCTTAGTAATTTTAGCGGGTTCAAAAATGAGCATTTTAATATAGCAAAACAGCAGGTAACATACCAAATTAGTGGTTATACTTACAGACCAACAGTTACTTAACAAATTTGGTGCTGGAGTGAAGATACAGCTGAACATAACTTACCACATTAGGGCAGTGGCTAAGAAATCTAAGAGTGCTTGCATTTATGTGCTCTTTAATATTAGATAGAACAAAACAACAGGTATATTTCACTTCCTTTTAGCATCAGTGATGTTACTAGAACTGGGTGCCAATCTTAAGCCCAAGTATTGTTACAGGCTGATGATTAATTAGGAGGGATTCAGAGGAGTTTCTTTAATGCTTAGAAAACCTGTCTTCCATCTAGGAACTGGTTTTTAGGGTTGTGCTTAAGATCAACTGCTGTCTTTATGAGACAAGAGAGTAATGGGATCCAGATTACAATGTACACAGTAAAAATAGGGGGAGTTGGGTGTGGGAAGAACCACTGTTCTGACCCATTCACTTCTAGTCATCTATTGCTAGAGGCTCCATGCCAGGCCAGCTCCACTATCCGGATTTGCAAATATTTTTAGTGGCTTATGAGATAGGCAAGAACAACTATCAGTAAGACAGGGTTAGCTTGGCTAATCATAACTAAAAGGAAAGAACTATTTTCTGTCTTGATACTGTCCATAATTTTACTTTAAAATCTTAATATTCTAAGTAATTTCTTCCTTTTTAATGTATGTTAGTTTTATTATTTTTTTTGTTGGGTTTTGACTTTTTTTTTTTTTTTTTTTTTGTATAGGGCACCAATGCCTCTGCTCTGGAAAAAGATATTGGCCCAGAGCAGTTTCCAATCAATGAACACTACTTTGGATTGGTCAATGTAAGTACCATTTTGATGTTACTTGAAATTTGCTTTGCTCCTTGGTTTTGTTTTGTCTTTTCTGTCCCCTACTCTTATCAATTTTATTCTAATGCAGGATTGTCTTTTTTTTTTGTCTTAAGCGCTGCTCATCTCATGTTGCAATTTTAGGCAAAGTAGGTTGCAAAACTGTATCAGATGTTTGAAGATGGCTTCATACACCCCCAGAGAGAACATTTCTATTAATATTTCCAGGGATTAGAACATACACTTAAATAAAATTAAAAGTCTATTTTAGCTGTGAAATAGGAGGGAGGAAGTGATTAAAGTATGTACAAGTTTAGGTACAGCATTCTGCATTGGTGACTCTTAGGAGGAGCTTTTTTATTTGACCAAGGAGAAAATGAGTGAGAGGAGTGTTTTAATCACTTGTTTGTTCCCATAGAAATTATATAGATATACTAATTTTTTCCTTTGAAAACATTAGTCATTCTGCCACTGAGCAGTAAGATAGAGCCCTGATATGGAAATAAACTTAATGAAATCCACTATAATAATTATTTTTCTTACAAGTGGAAACCTTTACTTTGTATCCTAGTTAATTTAGAGCACCATAGTTTTTTCCATGAAGTGTCATGGTGGGTGTGGAATTATATTTCTACTGCAATCACGTGGCAAAATGGCTGGTTTGTGACAGTGACAGGAGTCAGAATCTGAATGAACAGCTAGTTTTGTTGTGATGCACAGAGATTAAGCTTGTTTTTAATTTTGCATGGCAGTTTGGGAACACCTGCTACTGTAACTCCGTGCTGCAGGCATTGTATTTTTGCCGGCCATTTCGGGAAAATGTATTATCATACAAGGCCCAACAGAAAAAGAAGGAAAACCTCCTGACATGCCTGGCAGATCTTTTCCACAGTATTGCTACTCAGAAGAAAAAAGTTGGAGTTATTCCACCAAAGAAGTTCATATCAAGGTTACGAAAAGAGAATGGTAAGTGTAAAACTGAAGTTCTCTAAGGTATTCATGCATTGATCCAAAAAGTATAAATAAATATTGTACAATGTGATCACATTAACCAGAAATACAGGTCAGATTTGTAAATTACTTTTAGTACTTTGTGGGGTGTATTATTATTTTAGTATCTGTGTATATGTTATTATGCTTGAAATAACCATAGCAGATTTCACAGGCTCCCAGAGGTGTGCGAATTAGTGTTTTCACTGCACGGTGGGGCAGACCTTGCTGTAGAGTGAGCTAGGGCTGAGAATAGGGTGACACTGCTGTAATTTTTTAATTGTTTTTCTTTGTGGAGTATGGCAGAGAGAAACACTGAGAGCAGCTGGCAGTATAGAAAATGTGTGCCCTAGGAAGGCTGCAGACACCACCTACTCCAGAACACCCTGGAGGATAAGGAGCTGGGTATGTGGGGGGTGGTCAATCAACTACACATCAGCTGCTGTTCTGGTTCATGGAAGTGGTGGACACAGTCTTGTTTTGCAAAGCATCAGACCCCTTTTGACCATTAAGTTGGCAACAGAATATACCTAATCTTCTAAGGGATATGAGGAACATCTTGAGATAGAGAAGCCTGTCACAGCTATATTTTGGCCTGCATTCATATCAGTGTGGATGGTATGCTTAGAAACAGAGAGGCTTTGAATGAAGAGACAAAGTATGAGCCAAACACCTGGAAGAAATTGCTTCCTGGTGACAGCATATAAATGGGCAGATTGTTCATTTCAGGGCAGACATTTGAAATCATGAAAAAGTTAACTCTGAGTCATCTAGTGATAAATCCCCCACACTGTTTGGGATCATTTGTAAAGACTGGACCTTATGTTTTCAGCTTTTTTAAATTAGGGTCAGAATCAGTGTATTACCCTGCTTTTATGTCCAGGCCAGACACTACAAAGCCAAGGGTTCTGTACAATATTTTCTGAGGAAATCCATGTGAACTTTTTCAGGAGCAGGGGGATAAAAATACACATTTCTGGGAACACACATTCTTTTTTCTTTGACATGATGGGCAAGTTAAGCCTTTACTGGAGAAGTCTGTACTAAATCACCACTGGGATACTTTCCCCTCTTTCTGCAAGCATTTAGTATTGAACAGGACAAGTCTTTTCTCATTGGACTTGTGTGTGAAAAATGAGCTTTGTTAGGTGGTGGTACTGTTACTACTTGAAGTGAGTTAACCTTGACTGGCTGCCAGGTGTCCACGAAGCCTGTCTCTTACTCCTCATCTCAGCAGGGCAGGGGGAGAAGAGGAAAAAAACTCATGAGCTGAGATTAAAGTAGTTTAATGAAAAAATAAATAAATAAATAAATAAATAATTACATGCAGATACAAAGGAAAACCAAAGGAGATTTATTCTCTACCTCCCATCAACAGATGATTTCCAGCTAGCTACTACCTGGGACAAAGGGTCTTGGCATATATAGAAGTTTGTTTGGAAGATATATATCTTAATAAAGAAAATCTGCCCATCTTTCTCTTAGATTTTAGTGATGAACATTAAGTCACATGGCATAAAATATGACTGGCCAGTTTGGGTCAGCTGCCTCACCTATGTCCCCTTCCCAACCTCTTTCACATCCAGCCTACCAGCCTTTGGGCAGGATGAGGGTTGGAGGGATGGCCTTGATGCTGTGTGAGTGCTGCTCAGCATCAGCTGAAACACTGGTACATCATCACCACCATTTAGCCACACCTACAAAGCACAGCGTCCTGTGTTGGCCACTGTGAGGAAAGGGAACTCCACCCCAGACACTGTACACAAGTATGTGTCAGCATCCAATGGCTTCAATTTTCCCAGCCATGTGGCTTACTGTGATGTTCCTAAATGTCTGAGGGACTTGGAATATATAGATGGAAGTCAGTGCTGACTAAAGTTAGGCAGTAAGTGTCTAGTGTAAGGAAATAATTTAGGATGAGTCATGCTCTTGCTTTCTTCATTGACTGTAATGGGAGCCTACACAACCAACTCCAATGAGTGTAACTCTCTAGACAGCTAAAGTTAGGTGAGATGAAGCTTTCCCCCAAAGTGGCTTCATTGAAGCCAGGGTGACTGGCTGCAAAACTGTTCTTTGGGATGATTCCAAATACCTTGCTGAGCAAGGGCCAGTACAAGTATTTGGGGAAAAAAATAATTTTCTTTCTTGGAGGAAAGGATATTCAGCTGTACAAATCTTGACTCTCTCCTTCACAGATCTCTTTGACAACTACATGCAGCAGGATGCACATGAGTTTTTAAATTACCTGCTCAACACCATTGCAGACATTTTGCAGGAGGAGAAGAAACAGGAAAAGCAAAATGGGAAACTGAAAAATGGCAACATGAATGAAGCTGAAGAGAACAATAAACAGGAACTCACCTGGGTGCATGAGATTTTTCAGGGAACACTGACTAACGAAACTAGATGTTTGAACTGTGAAACCGTAAGCATTGGGATAGATTTTTTTTTTTTTTTGGTTGTTGGCCGTTAATAGATAGATACATTTTGTATATATAAATACATGAATCTTTTCAGACATCTGAGAATTGTGGATATTCCTGTAGAATTTACTTCTTGAAGTGAGTATATTCTTTTCTAAAAGTTTACTTTCCCAAGCATTACTTGGCTAATCTCTGCCAGGTTTTGCTGTTCTAATATGTATCTCTACAGTTAAAATCCTTGCTAGTGAATCAATATCTTTCCTTATCACTGTAACTTTGAGAGAAGGTATTCACATCATGTTCATATAATAAGTAAAACATTGAGATGAGTTTGTGTTAATTCCATCTTAAGAGTCTGACAGGTATACAGAGGGTTCATTAACAAACTGTTTTCTTTTATCTCCCTAATATTTTCTAGAGGAAAGTTTAAAATCTTTTATATTTGAGCTATAAGTAAAAATTAATTTTAGTTGGGAAACCTGATTGCAAGTCTCCTACTGATTACTGTCTTTTTTAAGCACATGCTTCTATTGAAAGAGAAAAGAAATATTTTTTTCAAGTTGCTCCTGTGACATTGCATGAAAGAATGACACAAAAAGGAAAAAAAAATCTCCTTTTGGGAGAACAGTGACCCTGACCTTCCATAAAGGTTGGAATTAACATTACCTAACCTTTGCTTGGTAGAACAAAGTTGATAGGCATCAAGGATGAACTAGTTTTCCCAGCTCCTGCAGATGATGGAGATTATGAAGGAGCTTTTGCAGGAAAATCTCTCCATCTGTTTCTAGGCTGTTTCATGAAACAAATTTTTTAGCAGTATCTGGTGTTTTGTTCCTTACAGCTCGTCCTGGCTGCATGGTGTTACTAAGTCATTGCAATTGTTGGTGCAGCAGTGCTGAGAACTGGGCCAACAAACTGATCTGGCCTAAGAATGATGTACTTTTACTCAGATCAGTGCTGCTACTATGGGCTTCCCCAAAGAAAACACAGCTTTAGATTAGCTGTGTAAAGATAGAAGAAGGTGCCCAGAGAAGGTATCTTCAGACAGCAAGCTGAGGTTTAGACAACTGAAGTTTGATGAGATAAACTCTACCCAGGTCCTACCAGATGTGTAAAAGAACATAGTCTGATATTTCTAATCATAAAGAATAGCTCTGTATTCCAAGAGAATATATATGGATTTTCCAGGGACTTGGTCAGAGGAGCATGGTGAGGAGAAGAGATACAATGATAGTCAACACAAAAAAAGATGTTGGAACAAGTTTGAAACATGCTTGTATAAGTGAACATATGAGAGAGATACTGAAAATTAATTATTTAATCTATTTCAATTATAAAACCTCAGGTAATAGCAAGTTAAAATAAGTGAAAGGTTAGAATTATTTTTTAACTGACAAGCTTCTCTTAAGAGTTATGGCTTAATTCTAAATCAATATCTAGTGTTTACTTAGTAAAACTGTGGTGAAGTGAGGATGTGTCCTTGGGTAACAGCATAACTGCACAATTTCCTACTTATAATTCAAAGTGATGAATCTTTATGGAAAATTTAGCTTGTCTGTAGCTTTCTCTGAATACAGAAATACCATATACTATTCAGGATATTTTTCCAGTTTGTTTTCCTTGGACTAGTGTAACTTGAAATCTTAGGAAAATAGTAAAACAGACTAAAAGTTATTCCTTTGCTAAAATATTCATAAGTAGTACATGAAGAATCATTCTGATTTCAGCAGTTCTTATTCTCATCTACAATAGAGTGCAGTTTGAATCTGGTTTTCCAGCTACCTTTAGTTTTAGTAGCTAGAATAATAATTCTAGCTCATCTTCCCCTCCAGTAAATATTTGATGTGCAGAAATCAAGAATAGCATTCCTAGCTTCTTTGAGGCATTCAGATGAAGCACTGTATTCACCAAGGACTTTTTCAAGTGCACTCAGTGTGTCTGACAGAACTCTAGTTCCAGCTGTGGAGACATAATGTTCTCTGAAGCTTTGTTGCTTTATCTCTCAAGTTTTAGCTGTATATTTATACTGCAGCTGATTGCTGCCAATTTTGTGATTTCCTGTCCTCTGTGGATCAAATCATGTCTCAGAGAGGGTTTTTGTTTGAAGAACTGTTCATTTAATTTGGGTGTGCATTATGCCTCTGTACATCTTTGATAATATCAAAATTAATCCAGCCAAAGGTGTTTCTCTGCATTCACTAAGCTTTTAGGATCCCTGACATAACACAAATATGAGCTCAAGGTGGTACACAACTATCATATCCACAGAACTGCAAAAATCTGAGCATGAGGAACTTCTACCTGAACAATGGATTCATCCCCTCACAGAAATTCTTGATTTGGGCTTCACTATTCTCCCATCTGATTTAGTTGTTTTAAGGAAATGCAGTCATAGGAGGCAAAACATGGGGTGTTCATGAAACATTTCATTAAAAATTTGTAATGAATAAGACTGAATTCATACGCAGTAAGTAATTCTGCTGTCTTTTGACTCAGTTGAAGTATTACAAAAATTAGCCATTTGGATGATTTTTTTTGTTAATATTACTTCCTTTGAGATTAAACACTCAGTGAAAAATAATTTTCAATGCAAAAATCAGGATCTGTCATTCTGAAAACATTTGGACTTAAATTTTTTTAATAAAATCTCTTCATTATAATTTTTCTCCTCTCGTTCTGTCTAAAAAAAAGCATTGGCATTACCAAGATGATTTTGCAAAATATTATCACTGAGCCATTTTTACCTTTAATATTTTAAATTTTTTAATCAAAATATTGACCAGGAACAATATCCAATGGGGAAATGTAGCTGTGTCAACCAGAAGTATAAACCCATCCTTTTCAATACTCACCGGAGAGAAAGGATAACATGGTTAAATATGACTTTTTTGACAGAAACATATTTGGAAATTATCTTTATTGCATCTTTAATAGTGGAAATAATTGCATAAGAATAAAATGTGAATGTGTATTGTAATATGTTACACAAAGGGTAAACAAATTTCTGATAACGAAAGAAAGTAGACTGTTACAGAACAAGGAAACATATGTAATGCACCAGTCCCAGATAATATAGGGGAGGATGGTTCACCTTTACTGAACAGTAGGCTGTCATTAATGGCCCATGGTTGGTGGGATTGGATAAGTGGAATAGACAGAAGTTAAATTATATGAATGCTGGACTGGTAGAATTACTAATAAATATCACACTGAACATTAGTCACACTGAACTAAAAAAAAATTAAAGCATTCAAATTAATTATTTTTATGTAAGAGCAGTTTCTACAGAAATAAATATCTTTAGCATTTACTAAAGATATAAACAGCATTTAGATATATGGCATCTCTGTTTTACATGTATGTTTTTTGCAACAGGTTAGTAGCAAAGATGAAGATTTTCTTGACCTTTCTGTTGATGTGGAGCAGAACACATCGATTACACACTGTCTAAGGTAAATAAATGCATCTTTTTGGCAGACAGTTCTAACTGCTAAATTTTTCAGGTCTAGTAGGTATAGAAAAGAAAAGTAGAATAACATTTACATTTGGACTTACCCTAAGCAGGATGAAAATACTTCAAACTGGATATTTCCTCTAATGAAAAAATACACATTAATGTACTTTGCTTTACTCACCTTCTCTTTCAATGTATGTATTTGAAAGAGGAAAATAAATCAACTTTCAGGGAATATAATTGATTGCATTGTTGTATGGAAGAATTGCTGCAGAATAATAATTGGCTTCAAAGAGATTTAAATGTGCTTATTTTTAAGCTTCTATACAAGTGCTTTGTTGATTACGATTTATATGCATATTAAAAGTTAAGTATGTGTTTTGCACAATGAGTGCTAGAGTCCATAGAGGGTAAAATATTTCAAAAGTCTATTTTTTTATTATCAGAAATTTCTTATTCTGTGTCTCATCCTAAAATTACGGGAAGTCTTTTATTCTAAATTTCTGTTCTGCTCCTAGTATATTCTTAACTTAAAAACTCTAGACATCCAAAAAATTTTCAGTCTTACATGGGTGATTATTCTGAGAGATTTAAAATGTCCAGAATTTTGACATTGATACAGTAAACAACTACCTAAGACAATATGTTGCTGTTCTAAGGTAATGATTTTTCAATTGGTCAAACTCCTTAAAAATCCAAAATTGCTATCAAGGTTGAAATTGCATTTATCAGTTATTCTGGAATACATAGGAGGGACTTCCTGGTGTGTGATCCCAAAGTGAGAGTTACAGAAAGAATGTGAGGTATTAACTGTTTCCTGAATCAGAAAGCAGTGACTTCTCTGTGAATATGACAACTGTACTAATTTCTATTAAAAAATTTTTACCCTCTCAGCTTCTATTCAGTCTCCCATAGGATACCGTAGTAGTCCTTAGCCCTCAAGTAGTCCACACTGCATTAACTAGCCTCTCTCTAATAAGTGAGCAAACCTAAGAGAGGCTCTGGAAAGGCTCTGGAATGCGTTCTCCTTTTCTCCTGTAGTCTCTTTGCCTCTTCATAGTAACCAGTAGATGAACCATTATTGGTACTATAGGCTTTTGTTTGCACACTTTTCAGTTCTTCACTGTAGCCACTACCCTGAACTTGCCAGTATTACTTACCTTTCCCTATGGTGTTCAAAGTCAATTTGAAATCCCAGTGAGCTGTAAGGATGCTGCAGTGCCTTCTGAGGTCCTTTCTAATCCGAGCTGTTATTTGGTTCTGTGGTACTGGAGACTGAGTTCTGATATTTTCTTACAGCTGAGTCTTGTGAACATGTTAGAAACCACTGCTGTATAGAAGTTACTATCTGTTCTTAAGCTTTCTCCAGTTTTTAATTTACATTCTTGATTTTTATTGTGGAAATGTTTTGTTGGGAGTGGCCATTTTATCTAAAGGCAGAGTAAGTACTTCAGTAAAAACACCAATATAATTTCCTCTGCTGAACAGCCTGGCTGTAGCTTAAGACATGGAAGAACTGCGTCTGCACAATTGCAACCAACAAGTGAATGCTGGAGTTGAAAGTCACTCCAAAGAGGTTAACCCCTACCTTCATGTCAGAGAGGATGCTTATCCAACCTGTTCCAGGAGATCTTTTTTGCAGTGTTATCTTGTCTATCCCAGTCCTTCCTGTTCTTCACTACCAATAAGTTTTTCCTGCTGTGTAATATGAATCTTTGTTGTTTCAGTTCAAGCTTATTTCTACTTGCCCTGTGTACTCTAGACATGAACTGGGGGTTGCCCTCATTTGCCTTAGCAGTAGCCTTTTGTATACAAGAAGGTAATCACTTTAATTTAAACAGCCTGAGGTCATTCAACTTTTCCTTCTCAGGCTGTCTTCTCTGGATCTCTACACATGTTCATAACTCTTCAACCTTCTCTCCAACTGGACCTCTCTCTTGAACTCTTTCTTGAAGTGCTGCTGGATGCCCTAAGTCTCTTTATGCATTCCAGTGTAGTGCCTTTATTCAGGCATTGCCTTTACTTTACAACACCATAACATGCATTTTGAAGTTTACCCATTGCTCCCTTTGGAAATAAAGGAAAGCAAAATCTCAATTTTTCTTTTCTTTGGGTGGCAGGTATAGGCCACTATTTACAGATTGAACAGGAGGAGAGTTATCACCTCTCATCTATTCTGACTATGCTTTGTTAGCAACATTTCTACCTATGTTTAGAAAACATATATTCAGCTAGAATATGGACTTCCTCTCATTGCTGTCTGGTATTATGCATTATTATACAAAATATAAGTGCTTTTGTAGTTTCTTTCAATAGGAACATTCCAGTTATTACTCTTTCTGGAATCTTTGCTGTTTTCTTTTCAATGACTACTTTGCTATGTCTTAATAGCTTTAAGGGCTTCTGCATTTAAAAGGTAAAATACAAAAAAGCTGTCCAAGATAACATTTAAGTATAATGAATCTCCTACAGATGAATATTCTTTTATTTCTGTAGTTTTTCAAAATGTAAAAGGTCTTTGTGTACTCAAGATGTCCAATGAACAGAAAGAATACAAGCCTCTGGCATAGTCTAAGCCCACAGGATAGACAGCTGGGTCTGAAGCAATAAAAATAACAATACAGTATGTACCCATTACAATAACAAATACAGTATATACCCATTGTTTTTATTTCCACTGGGATTTGCAAAGCTTACCAGTCAGTTTGATCCTGACTTGTGTAATAATAATTAATATTACACTAATAATTCTTTCATCTCTTAAAACACAAAATTAATATTATTTATGCATATAAACATTATAAAATAGAAAGCATCTTTTACAATGTAGCAGCGAGGCTGTAGAAGCACAAGGTCAATGTGATAAATTAGTACATCTCAAGCAGGTGCATTTAAAAATTTCTTTTCTTGCTAAAATAACATATAAGCAAAATGCAGATTGGACTATTAATGGAATAGGAGAGAGTTAGACATATCTTGAAACTAGCTTTGCAAATCTAGAGAAGAGTTCTGCAAGGCTGTGGCTCTTGCACATACAGACTTTGTGATCTCCGGTCAGTGATCTGTTGTTTTGAACTGTTTAACATCTGTTAGAAATGCCATGCTGAAAATTCTCAATTGCTGAAAGAGTTACTGAAGTTGCAATTATCTCAATGCCTAACCATTTTTTCAGTGAAACATTTTTTTCTAATACTACTAATAATAGATACCATAATGCTGCTAATAAATAAATAAATACATACTACTTCTACTAATAATAAATAATACTAATAATAGATATTAATAGCATCAGAATAACTAGTACATTTTAAAAGGAATTTAGAAACTCTTTGAGTTTAATTAACTTTCATGGGAGCCTTGGCATAGAACAAACCAGTATCTACCAAATTTCTACCATCTGCATGCCTCTTCATGTTAGAAAAACATCATTTCCTTGCCTCACTTTGAGATAGGAAGATTCCCCAATCTATAGATAATAAATTCCCCAAATTTGTTTGCTTTTTTAAAATTTGAGACTGTAGGCTTTGAAAATAAACATCAGACTCTTTCTGTAACAGCCAACATGAAACTTTCACAGGCACATTCTATGAAGTCTTATGTTCCCTGTACATACAACTCATCTTTAATATTTTCTTTCAGCTCTTTGCTTGTGGTTCCCTGAAAGGTTACCATGTTTTTCAGAGGAATTGGCTGAATTCAGCTAATTTTGTGTTTAAATTCAAATATGAAATCTGGTATCGAGATCAGTGTTTAACAATGAAGCAAATCCTTCCCAGTGATAATATTTCATTTTCTTTTAGATAAAAAATACTTATGATCAAAGTTTAGCTCTAACTTTTCTTTCAAAATATGTATTTTTTCCTAAATTTCAGCACTTTCTCCAAGGTGTTAAGACCTTATAAAGAAAACAAATCAATAAAAGTATTCTCAGTTATTAAAAATATTATATAGTCTTATGAAGTGCTTCCTTGTCACACTCTGTCAACCTTAAACTTTTATGAAGTTATGTAATTAACTTCTAAGATCTATGCACTAGCAAACTATATAGTCTTCATCTCTCCCACCTACCCCTGTAGTGATGATGTCAGGAAGAAATAATGATCCAGAATCCTCCCTTTGCCTTGCAAGACAGTTCTGGTGCTGCCTTCTGTGACAGCAAGCTGAAGTTGGAGACAGTGTGTATTCAGCTTCCATCAAGGTGAATTGCAGTGGTAGAAGGGAATTTATTTGGGTCTGAATTAGCCTGGAGTTCAGAAGCCTGTCAGGTATGAGGTAGGGGCACTCAATAGGACAGTTCTGGAATTCTGATATATCTACTTATGGCCCCAAGTCACAGGAAAACCCATGTGTTTAAAATGGGAGATAGGTGCTTATATCTGCATCCACAGTTCTCAAAACACCTGCTCAGCTGCAATGTAACACAAGAGGTGACAAAAATAATTACTGTTACTTTTTTTTTACAGTTAAGTAGTGTTAGGTACCTAAAATTCTGCTCCAGAGCGTATCAGCGCTGACTTCCAGCAAATCTTTTCTGTGAGCTGAAAGATGTTATCAAACCAGCCTTCCACTGCCTTTATCTCTTTAAAAGTTCAATCCAGAAATATCTCCAAGTATATTTACTTGACCAAGATTTACAAAACTTTCTATACCAGCTGCCTCTTTCCTTTTTTAGAAAACGAAAAAGTGTAATCTAAAAACTTCTAGATGACTGTTTAAAAGGTTAGAGAATGCAGGAAACTTAGTTAAATTTATTTTTTCTTTGTAAGAGGATTCAAACCTCTCTTATGGAAGAAAACCATAAAATGTGAGATATTTGGGGATGGCAGAAGTACACTTAAAGTTGCTTCATTCTGCAAATAATTTAAAAATAAACAGAATGGATTGAATGATTATACCCAAGTCTGGGCAGCCCCTTTATGTGAGAGACCAGATATAGGTCCCATTTTGGGACACCTTACCTTTCATTTGTATCATATAGAGGGCCTCAGCTCCTAATATAATTTGTCATAGCAGCCAGATACCCTAATTCCATTTGCAGCCCCCAATACAGTCTCTTCAGATGCTTTAGAAAACTGGAATGGGTGAAGATTTCATCCTGCATGTCTTTTGAATTTGCTTCAGTTCATCAGCCCAAGTGGGGCAAATGTATTCATATCCCTAAATAACTGATGGCTGAATTTATTTGCAGAGACTTCAGTAACACAGAGACACTATGTAGTGAACAGAAATACTACTGTGAAACTTGCTGCAGTAAACAAGAGGCACAGAAGAGGTAAGCAAAGAGCAGGCTGTTTCACCAGGGTCCTCCTGGGCTCTGACAAACTTACTCTTTGATATTTATTCTCTTACATCCCAAATGCATTCTCTGTGTGGACCAGAGAACCTGCAGACAGATTTAAAGGCATGTGTCTTAGTCTAGAAGCTATTTCTAGTTGACTATTGTTACTTACAAAGTGCTTTTATAATGCAGACATTTGCTTATTAAGGGAAGAGAGAATGGCTTTGAACTGGTCAGGGGTTTATCATATTCATTCTTTATGGTTTCACAGGATGAGAGTTAAAAAGCTGCCAATGATTCTTGCCTTACACCTCAAGAGATTCAAGTACATGGAGCAACTGCACAGGTATACGAAGCTGTCTTACCGGGTAGTGTTTCCTCTGGAGTTACGTCTCTTCAACACATCTGGCGACGCCGTCAACTTAGATCGGATGTACGACTTGGTAGCTGTTGTTGTCCACTGTGGAAGGTGATGTACTTTCATGTGTATCACAAGCTATTGCCAGGTGTTTGCCAACGGCAGAGCTATCCCTGACAAAATGCAGGGAGAATGGGAGGCAGGGCTTACAGCCTGCTGCTGCACAGACCTGCATGGGTCTTGGGCTGAACCATATGGCCAACCTCCCTCACAGTAAAAGAGTACTTGTTTAAGAAATAATGTCTCAGGTCTCCTGAAGTCACAAGTTTGGTTTAAATTGATCAAACTACCTCCTTCCTCATAAGATTCCTTAAAGAAGTTGGGAGCCAGGACTCTGTGACAGCCAAAGGCTGTCATCATGTAGGCCCCACAACAGATCACCTTGGTCAATTTTCCCCCCTTTGCTTAGTTCTTAAAGTTTTAAAAGAATTTGATGCCTACCAAAAGAAACTATTTAAGTGCTCTGTAGGATAATTTCCTAAATGGTCCTGGCACAGATAAAAACACCTTTAGCTTTCAGTTGATTAGCTTTGCAACAAGTTAAAATAAAAAAGTGAAAGGACTAAATGTCTAGTGTGCCACCACAGGTTGATTTACCATGTTTTTCATAACTTTTAATTATAACATATAATTCTGTATTCATAAAGAAATGTAACTTATCAGAGTGGACTCAGTAGTATATTCTAATATTTTGGGGTTTTGTTTTGCTTTCTAGTGGACCGAATCGGGGCCATTACATTACTATTGTGAAAAGTCATGGATTTTGGCTCTTGTTTGATGATGACATTGTAGAGGTCAGTATGCTGAAGGTCACGAGCACAACTTTTGTCTTAATGTTTGCTTCCCTACTTGGGGTTAAAATTCTGATCCAGAACTGGGTTTACTAGTTAGTCTCAGTTTACCAGACTCAGATTGCCAGTCTGCAAAACCACAGTTTGGTTGTAATGTTTATTTCAACTCCGTTAGGAAGAAAGATTGTAAACAAAATTATTAATTCGGTAGTTTGTGCTCTGTCAGTTTCAGAGGGATTTTTTTTCATAACAACATCAAATGTTTTTAATACCAGACTTTAAGAATTTAATTTTCAATATTTTCTATATCTAATAAAATAAATTTAATTCATTAAAACCTTATCACTTGGTAAAACTGAACTAGGTAGCACTGCTGTAGAATTTTCAGTTTTCAATAGGGAACTTACAAGAAAGTCTGAACCTTGTTTTTGTTCTGGGATTGTCTGAATGTGGATTAGAGTAGAATCTGTACCACAGCTATTGCAGATTCTGTCTAAGCATTCTGAAACTCATTCTTATGCAAACCCTTTATGTCATTGTGGCACACTGGCAAAACTGAGGTTTCAAGTCTGATTTCCCAAGAGGTAAGGAAAGTGAGCACTGGGATGGTGGGTGGGGTAAGTTTTGAAGAAGGTTTCTGAAAATCTGAGAAAGATGGGATCACATGGTCACATTTATGTGTCTTAACACAAAAATGCTCATTACTGCATTCCAAGGAATCTCTCTCTTATTGGAAAAAGCCTAATTCAGTTAGGTTCAGTGACAGAAGCATGCCTATGACTTTCATAGTCATAGTGAGATCAACAAGGTTCAGCCCCCCAATCTTTACCCTTTAACTGCTTCAGTTGCAAGCAGTATTTTCTAATTGCTACCTCTAAACAAAAAACTGAATTTGTCTTTTCTGTTCATACAGTCATTTCATCTGTGTTTGGTATTTGTTTTACCTAACAGCACATTAAAAAAATATTTATTTTACAGAAAATAGATGCTCAAGCTATTGAAGAATTCTATGGTCTGACCTCTGATATATCAAAAAATTCAGAGTCTGGCTATATTTTATTCTATCAGTCAAGAGAGTGACTTGGCAAACTGTGATAATTTCGCATAAGAATGCTGCAAGCGAAAGAAGGTGATGGCTCCCCTGAACTGACTTTTACGCAGACCACATCTCGGATGGTTGAACAACAATACACTCCTGTTCTATGGTCTATGTGATGTTGACTATAACCGTCCAGTTTTGGCATTCAGAACTTTATTTTAGAGAGGGGGGGTTGTTTGTAGTTTTTAAGACTGATTGAAGAGCTAATTGAAGTCAGATTTTAGTGGAATTTATATGGACTAACATTTGCAGATAATAAGATTTGGATGTCAACTGTTAAACCCAATCCAGCTAGAGTAGTATTTTATATGAAAGTGTTCATTACATTTAGGGAAAAATTATTTAAAACTTTCTAGATGGTTTTGGAGCATGTTGATTTACAAAGCATTCCTTTAAATACATCCTGACATATACTTACCCCTTTTAAGTGTAAGGAAAAAAATGGATTTCATGATGATTTGAGTTGTGGTTATATTGGGGATTTTTTTACATTACTCTGTTACTCTGCTGCAGAAAAGATGCTCGGGTTACCCTGCTGCAAAAAAGATATTCTTCCAAAATTATTTCATTTTTGGTTGTAAAAGCTTTCAGTGTGTAACCACAGATCTAAAATTCACAAAGAGGGATTTAAATTACACTGGAATGAAGAAATTCTGTATGTTCAGTCACTTTGTCATGAGATAGTACAGATGAGGTGAGATTTCAGAACTTACAGAGCACTGGAATAAAGGGAGGAAGATCACATATATGATACAGAGATAAATTGCTTTTATAAAGATTGATCTTTTTGTTAAAATGATATCACACATTGTTTACTTTGATTGAGTTTGCAATGATTGCAACACTGCTCACATGTGACATATCCATCAGGACTGAAATTATCCAGTCCATTGAAATAAGCATTGTTTGTACATAAAACACTGCTTGATCCTGCAATTTTCTAAATATCTGTAAGTCCCATTTTCATTTTTCAAGACAGAGCCCATTTCTTAGAAACAAAATACATGACAACCACTAGTGTACACACTATCATGTATATATCATCCTTAACATTTTTGGTCATATTTGACAGAGTTTTGTCACCACAGAAACAGATAGGGATCTGGAGTGCTTGATTTCAAAATCAGTACAAAAAGCTTAGTTTGTGATTTTCCTGGGTGAATTTGGCTGGGGCTTGTCAGGCACTGGCTAATAAAATTTCTGAATTCACCTGAATTTGGCAAGGAATAAATGTAGAAGAAAGTATCAACAGGGTTTGAGAAAGGATTGATGGTGGCTTGAGCCAGTGGTAATGCTGGGTAGCTGCCTTGTTCAGTTTGACACTTCTCCATTGCACAATTCTTGAACTTCTGTAGCCAAAGTCCTATTCCAATGACATCAACAACAAAAACACTCTTCTTGTCTTCATGGGGACTGACAGTGGGTTATAGTATTTATAAGGAAATATTCTCATCTCACAAAATTTATTTCTACCTGTTACATTTTATTTACTTATTATGTATTTATCAGACAGTGTTGCTTTTTGTCCTTTCCTTTAAGAAGCCTGCCTGACACTTTGTGGCCAACACTCCATTTCAAGAAATGGCTTTTGAAGTGCAGCTACATCTCATATTTTAGTCTTCTGTAGAAAAGATAATAATGTTTTTCACTGTACTCTACTGTGAATGTGAAATATCTTTCATAAAATATTGGTGAAAATGAAGTAGCTTCTACTGTAACATCATCTAAATTTCAGTTGGATTTAACAATGGCCATTTTGTAAACTAAGGCAATGTAGCACTTTACACTGAATGAGAAGCAGAAGTAGACTTTTCAGCTAAGATTATTTATTATTATACTGATGCAAGAAAACAGACGTAGAATGTAACCTCAGAGGACTTAAGTGAATGATAGTAGTGGTCTACAGAGATCACTCACATGAATGAAGGCTGGTATGCAGGCTCAAGACAAGCATAATTAGGATGCAGCTCTTCTTCTTTTATTGTTGTTAGAATGAAATGTTCTGTCTAATACTGAAGATAGTCATCTTACAGCAGACCACTCCCTGGTCTGACAGTCTCCCACTGAGACCCAGGAGCTTTTCCACTGAAAGGCTAAACCTGCAAATCCCTCTTTAACTGATTTATTCATAAACATTCAGAATTTCTGTATAGAAAAATATAAAAATTACTGGCCTTTTAAAATGGATAAGGTTTCCTCACTGTGAATAAATTCACTTTCTACATCAGCATTAATTAGTGCTGGTCCAAAGGTCTTTATTTTGCAGTTTACTACTGAACATTCTTACAGCATTCTTTAGTTTTAAAAGATTCAATGAAACAGATATTCTTAAGGTATCATTTGAATCTTCAGGGCTCATGTTTATATGAAAAGCAATTTTTCATAAAAATAATTTTTAAATCAGTTCAATTTTAGGAAACATTTTCCTTATTTCAACAGACTTATGTGAAAATTGGTTTTTAAAATGTTAATAGTTTGAATTAATATTTAAATGGTAAACTACAGGACAATAATCTCTGATTTTCTCCACTGCAAGACAGCTTTAGATTGTAAAACATACAGTTCATTGCAGTAAGTTATGGAGAGTAAAATTACTAGAATAAGCTGCTTCAGAAAGTATGAAAAAGCATTTTTAATTCATGCTAGCCCACGAAAAGATCACAGCACTAGTATCACAGCAGTCCAGCATCAGGAGTCTGACAGCAGCTCTGCAACATTGTGGAATACACACTTCATATTAACGCTAGCTAAACTAGGGAGCATTTTCTTTTGATTAACAAAGTTGCAGTCACAATTCTATAAATTGGATCCAGTCTGTAGTGTGCTGAATGTCTTTACTTCAGTCCAAAAGCTGTCTGTCACAGCTGTATGAATAGTGCCAGTCTAGGCAGAGGAATTCTTCTTTGTCAAATTAAGCACATTCACTCAAGTTTTGCAGGATTGGGATCCCCACAGGAACAACCATATGGTATAAAGTATTTTAGTTGACTAAATAAAGCATAATCCCTTTTCTCTTGTGCTTATGCATAGATTTCCAGTCCCTTATGAAAGAATGGAAAAATACCTAAGACAATAAAAGATTTTCAGCTAGCAGTGAGAAAACAAAGTGCTAACACAGATCTCTAATACTATTCAGTGTTTCCCTAAAATTACTATATTTTATGGCGTCATGTTCTAGGTATATTAGGTCTAACAACAATTGAAGTTTTCCAATTGTTTCCCATGCTGTTGCTGAGATGCATTGTCCATTTATAAATACTACTACAATGTTCTCTATTTATAAAAAAAAACCATTTTTGTCTTGTGCTGTGTTTCCACAGCACTGCAGTGCTGATGGATCAGTTACCTTAGAGGATAAGCTCAGAACTCAGCTTTTATATTTCCAAGAACAGGCTGTTGGGATTTTATGGAATTTCTAATTTGGGAACATAGCAGAGGGAGGCAGAAGAGTGGAGTGATGGAAAAGCCATATCAATGAAACAGAGCACCTTTTTGAAACTAGGTCCCAAAATTACTCCTGTCAATTCTATTTTAACAATTTAGTTACCTCAGAGTACTAGATTATGTATGAAAAGTCTTTAGCAGTTGGAGTAAAGAAAACAAAGCAGCAGGAATTTCCTTCATATCAGGTTTAATAAATTATTAAAGACCTAGCAAAATTAAACTGAAATTCACCTTACACAATGGGTCCTAAATTGCAACTGCAACCTGCCTTTTATCTTCAGACATTACATTTCAGTCACTCATCTGTTCCAACATCATGTAGTTGGCACCTGAGCTGACAGCTTGCAGCTGCCAGTGATTTGATGCCTCTCAACAGCAGACCCTTCTTGTTTTATCTCTTTTTTGCTGCATGTGGCTGATAGTTGTGAGCAGTGTCTTACAGCTGAATGAATACTAGAAATTTAAAAAAATTTTGGCTGTGTACCTGTTCTTTGTTAGTATCTTTTAGAAGGATTTGTTTTAATTTATTTTTCTTGTGTTGGTCTGTTACTGTATTTGTATAATAACTTATGTGGTTAATGCTATTTGCTTTGCTTTAATTTTTTTGTACTTAGTTTTTTTTAAAATGTAATCAACCCAAGCACTTTAAGCAACAATGTCAATCTTGTGAAATTCCAATCAGCTTAATGTTTTGCCTTTGTCTTACTGCTTTTGCTGCTGCTTATTTGTGATCCAATATCTCTAGTTACAACTCAATTTCCATTTTAAGGTTTGTAGTCCTAGCTGGGTTGTAAAATTGGAAAGCCCAAGTATTTTCATACATATTTGTTCATGCATAAAAAGGAGGCAGTGTTTACTATGTGTCTGCTACACACATCAGTGTGTACCTGACAAGCTGCACTCTGCACATTTCACAGCCTCTTTTTGCTCTATGCCTGCTAACCCATCAGAGGATGACTGTAATACTTCAATCTGTGACACAGTTATCCATGACTAGAATTTAGAAAAGTTCCAATTCTTACAGGAAAATTCTTTTACCAGACACAGAGTAAGCTGTCAATCAGCTGATAATACAGGTATTGCTCTCTTTGCCATTTTACCAGCGCTCTGTTCAGTTTCAATTGTGAATAATCTGACGAGCCACAATTATTCTTGGCTACTGTGTGCTTGCTGGCAAAGAAAGCAAACTTTTGCATCTTTCTTCTCTTCACTTGGGCCAACATAAAACAAAAGAAAAGAGATAATGAGGTAAGGTGAATGCTTGTGTAAAATGATGGTTTTAGAGGACAGCATCTGTGGTGTCCATATCAGAAAGTCACTGACTTTCTGTGTTATTAATGCAAGGGTTATTCCTAGTGCTTTAGATATTTTATTTTCTTTAATCGATGAAAAGACCAGAACTTTTTCCTCTTGCATCTGTTCTGATACTGAGGTGTTTCTTCTCAATTTAACGTGGCCCTTAATATGTAAATAGCCATTGGCAAGCCTTGATAGACACCCATTTAATTTCTTTCCAGATAATATACATTACTTCAAAGAGATTGCTTGGACCTGCCTACAAGATTTATTCAGATAACACGGTTCTTTTGCATACAGGGTCAAATAACACCTATCAGGAGGTATGTGCCCACCTGATGGGACCATCTGGCTAAAGCCACACTATTTTACATACTCATGAT